GGTGTGATTGTTGTGGTTTGTGGGTTTGTGGACTGAACGTGGGTTTTGTTCTCAGTGTTTGGATTGTTTGTTAGTGGCTATTGGCGGTTAGCATGTGTTGTTGAAGGTGGTTTGTACATAGATCGTTATATTTGTAGGGATTGTAATTATAGAGTTTACTTATTGATTGTATTTATTTTTATTTTATTTATTTATATATATACAAGAGTTCTTACATTCTCATAGAGACACTAGCAAACATGGCGTTTCGGGCAAGTCCTTAATCCTAATTTTCCCCGGCATACGACCCGCCAAATCGTTTAACAACCAGGTACCCATTTACTGATGTGGGAATAGAAGCCTCACTTAAGAACTGGCGCCCGGTCAATCCTCCCCGGCCAGGATATGAACCCCAGGCCAAAGCGCTCGCGAAGCGCCGGGCGAGTGCTTTACCACTGCGCCACGGGGACATACAAATTGATTATAATTGGTTAATCGGCTGACTATATCTGTAGAAGGTTGTGGTAGTTGTTATTATAAGTGCTGAACTTGTAATTGATTTTTTGTAGTTTTGTGTACTTAGACGTGTTGTGGTTGAACCTGTCCTCTCACTCAACACGTCGTATGTTAAAGGAATCAACCAATACGGCGAAAATGGGTCGTATTAGTCAAAATTAGAGCACCAAAATATTGACGTTTTCTACTCACCGGCCCCGATAGGTTAAATAACTAAGCCAGTTGCTGGGATTCGCACGTTTCTGGTTAGGCCAAAACAGTTGCATTATTTACGAAGTGGCATATTGAGAGACCCGGCTATATTATAAGCTATACGACTGGTACGGAGCGTTGACCATGAACACTGAAACGGAACTATTTAGCGCTCGGCTGTACTGAAGATAAGCAAGCAAAATGTAAATGAAATATTACGAAACGCAGACTATGAATCTTTGCATCGTTCTGTGCAACAATTACAAGTCACAATAAAGGGTTCTTTGGGTTAATATACTCATCACACCTAGTAGTTAACGGGTTAGTTAACGGGGTTCATGGGGTTAGAGACAAACCTGTTTGGCCACGATTTTTGATCGTCCAAGATAATGTTGTCAGGTACCTGGCCTGGGGTACCAGCCCCGGGGTACCCGGCCAGGGGTACCAGTCCCAGGGTACCTGGCCAGGGGTACCCGGCCAGGGGTACCAGTCCCAGGGTACCTGGCCAGGGGTACCAGCCCCGGGGTACCTAGCCAGGGGTACCAACCCCGGGGTACCTGGCCAGGGGTACCAGCCCCGGGGTACCTGGCCAGGGGTACCAGCCCCGGGGTACCTAGCCAGGGGTACCAGCCCCGGGGTACCTGGCCAGGGGTACCAGCGCCGGGGTACCTGGCCAGGGGTACCAGCCCCGGGGTACCTGGCCAGGGGTACCAGCCCCGGGGTACCTAGCCAGGGGTACCAGCCCCGGGGTACCTGGCCAGGGGTACCAGCGCCGGGGTACCTGGCCAGGGGTACCGATGTCACTCGTCTCGTGCACACCATATATAAACTACATAATTATATCTCTTATTTTCATTAGGTTAGGATAAGTTAAGATAGGTTAGGCTGAGTTAGGTTAGGTGAGGAGAGTAGCAGTGACATAGAGGGGTACATGCTTTCTTCAGGACTTGTGCAAGCATTGAGCGGTTTAGAAAATAATGCTTTTTCAAGAGAATAAAATTTCGTTTTTATCCCTACGCCGTCTTGCCGGAGCGCGCGGAGAGCCTCGTTTCCTCCCTGGTATATTGATCTGGACACTCGCCATTCATCTCTTTTGTGTGATATTTGCGGGGATTTTTTGATGCCGATGATGATTGTAATCCCAGTGGTGTGTGTGTGTGTGTGTGTGTGTGTGTGTGTGTGTGTGTGTGTGTGTGTGTGTGTGTGTGTGTGTGTGTGTGTGTGTGTGTGTGTGTGTGTGTGTGTGTGTGTGTGTGTGTGTGTGTGTGTGTGTGTGTGTGTGTGTGTGTGTGTGTGTACTCACCTATTTGTGCTTGAGGGGGTTTAGCTTTGTCTCTTTGGTCCCGCCTCTCAACTGTCAATCAACTGGTATACAGATTCCTGAGCCTACTGGGCTCTATCATATCTACATTTGAAACTGTGTATGGAGTCAGCCTCCACCACATCACTGCCCAATACTGTGTGTGTGTGTGTGTGAATCCGTTTCAACTGCGACAAGACAGTACACGTCATGGTAATATAATCACTCTATCAATAGTGATGCCTGTTAATGATAATTAACAATCACAGTAATAATAATAATAACAGTATTCAACAAACAGTAACAATCACTCACCCATCAGCCTCTACACGTCCCTCGCGACAAGCAGCCACCAGATGGGGCTCCCTCTGCACGAACGTAACAATTTCGACGCTCTTCTCTCCCAAATACGAACACTGACGGAACACATTAGGCTACGTGCTGCCACCAACACATGCTCTCACTTCAACCACACAAAAGTCGTATACATGAATAGGATCAATAGCATTAAATATAATTTAACAAAAGTCTATACTCCTTCATTACGACATAAAAAGCGGCATAAATGTGTAGTTATAGTTTGCAAAATTTTAATTAAAATTTAGTAAGCAGCGTGTTGAAATATCCATAAAAATAATTATCTAAAAATTATAATTAAAAATAATAATAATAATAATAATAATAATAATATCATTATTATTAGTACTATTATAATGAAATATAGGAGAGTAATATAAATAATAATTATAATAAAATTATATTAACAGTAAAGGAAAGTAATGACAATAACAATAATTACAAAACAAATTGCAAAACAATTGTATTCAAGCAGAAAAAGTGTAGTAATGAAAATAATAAAAACAATAAACTATTTGTTTAACCATTTTCTCTCTAGTACAATTTTATATTTTTAAAGATGGGAGTGGTTGCCAATCAGTACTTAATTAACTATCAGTGTCTACTGAGAAGTGAGGCCTAGATCTCTAAGCCCCGCCTACTGGCCTTGCTGGCCGCCTACTATTGGCCAGCCCCAACACGTACACCCTGGCCCATCCCATCACATACATAACGGGAAGTGGCTCCGTGACTCGCAAGGAACTCAAAGAGACAATTGCTAAAATGAATTCAATCGAGTGATAATTTGAGTGCCTGAGCGAGTTTACGCTCGTTCAGGGGGTCAAGGGGCGGGGCAGGGTCGAAGGTGTTGACCAATTAGGGTTGACAGGGTGTGCAGATATGCTCGCCCCGGGGCTCCTAATATCTGGTTAATGGGAGGGGCATGTTATGCTCGCCTCGGGGCCCCAGCAGTAACACGTTCTTGCCATATACGTAATGCAACCTTTGTCCCAGATGAAATATAGCTGCTTATTTCTTTTCATTAGAGGTAGATAAGAATTTTAGTCAAACATGCTCAAAATAAGCCTGTAACTACCAGCTGTCACCTCAAAACCTTATGTCTCGGGTTCGATTCCTGTAGAGGACGAGAAGTTTGGCCACATTCCTTATACTTAATGCTTGTGTTCACCTATATTAGTAAATAAATACCTGGAAGCCATGCAACTGTTCTGATTTGCTTGCTGAAAAAGGGAAAGTCTCTGGCCTAAGCTGACCTCGATAAGCCTAGCATTCTTCCCGTCTCCAGCAACAGGAGACAAAATACATAAAGAATCACATAAACGTGCACACGGTGGTTAAGATGGCTTGAGTGTGTGCTAGGAACCAGCGGTGCGCTCCCCCCTCCCCCGTCCTCCTCCCAGCTGGGGCCGTGTGCGTTCAAAATATATATTTTCTAAATTTAAAAAGTTATGAAAAAATCATTAGGAAGTATGAGAAAGATTCGAACCTACACACTAGGTATTCCCAAGCGCACACTTTAGACCACTTAACCACGACATGTTCCAAAGCAATAAAACCTGGTATTTTTTCTCATTGAAACATCACGTTTAATGTGATTTCTTTGTGCCTACAACATTATTTTGATTATATATATTAGGAATGTGTGTATATTTAGGCTTGGGTTAGATTAGGTTGTTAGGTTCTGTTTGTAACTATTTGTGTTGCAAACATGATGCGTTTAGAGAAGATTTAAACACAGGAATAGGATGAAGCAGTGTTTAAGAAAAGTTCAAACGTAATTAGTCAAGTCGCATGTTAAGTATTTCCATTCATAAACAATGGATTTGGCGGCTGGCTTAACGAGCATCTGACCAATGTCATCCATTCGTCAAAATAGGATTGGCTAGCTGACCAGCGCCAGGTCAAGGTGTGCGAAGCGACCTGCTCTCAGTGTTACCCCAGCTGGCAGTGTGTCTGGACCAGGGGCGGTTCAGTGGTGCGGCCGGTTGTTTGTGTGGCGACATGGGGCACCCTCTTCCCCACTATCCGCCGATCAAAGACGATTGGATTGGAATTTTCTGGCTGGGCGTCGTACCTGGCAGTTGAAGTAGTCGTCTGATATGTTCAGTGTTAATGTAGCAGATGTTTGTGGAGTGCAGCTTCTTACGAACCACTGGGAGCTGGTTAAGTTCAGCTCTCCACCTGTTTACAAGGATCTAGTGGCCCGTTATGATGGTCATTTGTTCTCCCTCCCTGCTCCCAACCCTCAACTGTGGTACCGTTGCTGTTTCTGATCGCTGCTGCTCCCTCACTTATGTGGCATTGCATTGGGTCCCCATCGAGTTCTCGGACAGGTTACTACGTCGTTACTTTGCTAACTATGGGACCATGGTGTCCCTACAGATGAACACTATCTCTTCTGTGTGGAGGTAGAGGGGTGTCTCGAGTGGTACCAGGACCATCGCTTTGTGTCTCAAGTCTCCTGTGCCGTTGACTGTCACGTTGATGGGCTACACCATGCGCGCCGTCTACGCTGGACAGCCCCAGACATGTTTTAGGTGTGGCCATGCGGGGCACCAGGTGGCGGACTGCTGTGGAGTGTCCGTGGCTACCGTGAATCTGTTTAGGGAGGAGGACTCTCCCCCGTTGGTGGCTCCAGACCTGTCACCCTGTGATGTTATGGTGGGGGAGGCTTCCCTGCCGTCGGTTGCCCCTGTGGTGTTGCCGAGTTTCTCGCTCTGGGTGGACGAGTGTGCGATTGGTGGTGTGAATGCGGGAGTGGTGGTGCGAGGGGACCTGCCCTCGCGGCCAGCTTCCTCATCTCTGCCAGCTCCCTTGCCTCCGCCAGCTGTGCCTGCCTCTTCTTCAGTTCGGTGTCAGCTGTGAAGTGTGGGTTTGTGCCCTTTGTCATCGAGGCTGCTGTGCTTCGGGATCGCACTCTGCCCGGTGTGATGCAGTCTCCTCGGGTGCCTCCTGTTGGTGGCAACAGTTCGGATGATTCCCGGCCTGTGCCTAAACGCTCTAGGACAGTTAGGGGTATGTTGCCCCCTCGTGAGTGGGCTGCTGTGTGTGATTTTGGGGACTCTGAGGGCTTTTCCTTCTGTGGTGTGCGGTGCTCGTGTGCAGGGGACTGGTGTGATGCCGGACGGTGGCGTGGGCCTTGGCGTAGGTCCTTCGATAGTGGTGGCGGAGATTCACGTGCCTCCTGCTGGCGCCGGTGCGGGTGCCTGTGCATTGGCCTCTGTACCTCCTGCTGTGGGTTCCCAACTGTAGGGGATAGTCTCTCCTGTGTCAGATGCTGTGGAAGGTGGTGAGTCCCGGGGCTCACCACCTTCACCAACGTCTCACCAGCCGACATCCTGGAGACAAGAGAGGGTGTTTACCTGCTCTTCTCCAGTGATACGGACTTTGAGAAGATATTCACCACCGCCACCAGGACCACCCTGCAAGACGCCAGCCCCACACTCACGCCACCACTACACTATCTGGTGGACAGGACCTTGTTCAATAGGAATATCAGCACGTGGATCACTGACCGTGACGACGACGACATCCTTGCCAGCATCAACGAACAGAACCCGACACTGACAGCGGTAGCGGTCAAGACCAGCAGTCCCCGTGGCGCAGTGGTAAGATACTCACCTGGCGTTTCACAAGCGCCTTGCCTTGGGTTCGAATCCTGGCCGGGGAGGATTGACCGGGCGCCAATCCTTAACTGTAGCCTCTGTTCACCCAGCAGCGAATGGGTACCTGGTTGTTAAACGATTCGGCGGGGTCGTATTCCGGGGAAATTAGGGTTAAGGACCTGCCCGAAACGCTACACGTACTAGTGGCTTTACAAGAATGTAAACTGTTGTAAAACTCTTGTAAAGACCATCTCCAATGCCGAAGTCAGCAGTAGACCAACACTGAAGGTGACCTTCACCACGGCCATCACAGCAACCAGACTTCGGACTTAAATGCGCTGGAATCACTATACCACCCACCCAAGTGACCAAGGAATGCTTCACGGAGCTTCAAGTGCTACCAGTACTCTCACAACACAGGAAGTGCACCGAGCGAGCACCGAGATGTAGCCTCTGCGCCCAAGAGCACCACTACATGGACTGCACATCCTTTTACTGACGTTATTGCTCTGCAATGGCCCACACTCTGGGGTCTCACCTGATTGTCTCCCCTCCTCCGGCAGGAGGAAATCCGAAAGATGATGGCTACAGCTTCCTCCACCACCATACCTCGACCAGCAAACCCACTCCCTTTGGAATTCCCAGTCATACCCTCACATGTGACTCACTCCCCACCACCTGGCCCCCTGGGGATGCAGCACCCAGCCAGGCCAGTGGACCGCACCACCTCTGACCACACCACCACCGACCCAGCCTGCAGCCTTCCTTTTACCTCCCTTCTGATCTCCTTCAAGATCACCCTTTTTACCTGTCTTCCTTCACTTCGCCGACAAAATGGTGGGCAACGACATTACCCGCTACATCCACGTCATCAACAGACTGCTCGTCGCGAATGGACTTCTGACAGCTGCTGTACCCGATGACCTTCTTCCAGCTTCGACAAGTACTACCGGTCCTTCCGCCCCGGGGACGCCTGAGTCGACCCTCAAGGGAACCCTCTCTGTCCAGCCACAGTGACTCAGCAGTCACCAAGCTTGTCCCACTGATATGATAGAGCCCAGTAGGCTCAGGAATCTGTACACCAGTTGATTGACAGTTGAGAGGCGGGACCAAAGAACTGAAGATGAGCCCCCGTAAGCACAACTGGGTGAGTACAACTTGGTGAGAACGAACAAAGAATCCTCCAGCTAAATTTAATGTTCTGTTGAAAGAAGTAATTTCTTGCGCAAATAACTACCAACCATGTCCCCACAGATGGCGCTTGTTTTCGTTAGCTCAAAAAGTTAACAACAAAAAAACGAAGCCTTTCATTAACTTTGAGTGATTCGGAATGAGAAAAGAAAATGAATACCAATTACTCGCTATTCATCAAAGGGACATTTTTAAGGGTCTTGAAAACCCCACCAGCGGCCGGATAATTGAGAAGTGCGGACACAAAATAGTTATATTTTGCTGAAAATATAAGTGAAAAGGAGTTCGAGAAACGTCTATGTTGGTGAAGGTGAGCTGCACACCTGGTTCACACCTGGCTCACACCTGGCCCACGTCTGGCTCACACCTGGCCCACGTCTGACTCACACCTTTCCCACGTCTGGCTCACATCTGACCTAACTCTGGCTCATACCTTGCTCACATCTGGCTCACATCTGGCCCACGTCTGGCTCACATCATCTTAGTTTCATTACCTGTTCTTTCACTGTTGTTTTCCTCCAGATGTGACTATGGAGCAGCTTTGGTTCGGTCTTGGTTTTGTTTCCAATATCATTTTCAAAACTTTTCTCTGCTTCTCTTCTCACCCTGACATACTCATTCCTGGTTCTCTGGTATCTCTCTCTGCTTTCTGGTGTTCTGTTATTCCGGAAGTTCCTCCACGCCCTTTTGTTCAGTCCCTTTGCTTCCATACATGCCCTATTATACCATGGATTCTTCTGTTGCTTCTCGGATTTTTCCCTTTGGGACGGAATGAACCTGTTTACTGCCTCCTCACACTTTTGGGTGATATAGTCCATCATTTCTTATACAGACTTATCTCTGAGGTCTGTGTCCCAAGGTATTTCCCTCAGGAAACGTCTCATCTCCTCATAGTTTCCCTTTCGGTATGCCAGCCTTTTGTTTCCTAGTTGTTTTTTGGGGGAGATAATTCCTAGCTCTACCAGGTACTGGAAGTTTCCTACACTGTGGTCACTCATTCCCAAGGGTGCTTCCATCTTAACTTCCCTTATATCCCACTCATTTAGGGGAAATATCAGATCGAGCATGGCTGGTTCATCTTCTTCTCTCATTCTTGTTGGTTCCTTGATGTGCTGGCTTAGAAAGTGTCTTGTTGCCATGCCCAGCAGCTTAGCTCACCATGTTTCTGTGTTTTTGTTCCTCCATGCGGATCTCCGTTCTCCCAGTCTATTTTCCCGTGGTTGAAGTCTCTCATAATTAGTAGTCCAGATCCATTCCTGCTGGCAACAGAAGCTGCTCTCTCTATTATGTTAATGGTGTCCATGTTGTTTCTATCATATTTCTGTCTGGGTCTTCTGCCATTCGGTGGTGGATTATATATGACTACGACTATAATTTTTTGTCCTCCAGTTGTTATGGAACCTGTTATGTAGTCACTGAAACCCTCACAACCCTGAATAACCATCTCCTCAAAGTCCCAGCCCTTTCTTACCAGCTGAGCTACACCACCCCCACCTCTTCCTTCCCTCTCTTTCCTCATAACATAATAGTCCTGTGTGTGTGTGTGTGTGTGTGTGTGTGTGTGTGTGTGTGTGTGTGTGTGTGTGTGTGTGTGTGTGTGTGTGTGTGTGTGTGCGTGTGTGTGTGTTCAAGATATGTGTAAGTTGATCAGAATTGCTTGTCACCTTTGTAAACGCATTAATGATAGTGGCAAAGACACCTCGAACAGTGTTTATGTAGGACAGACGTAAATCTGTGTATATATGTAGTAATACATGAAGGTTAGATTAACCTTTTAAAGGCACTACCATCACCCTCTGTGGTTGATTGTTCAATAAATCACTGAACTATATGTTTAACAGATCTCTAACCCTGTCCATGGAGGACAGAAGGAAATGTATATATGCTGGTTAGCATTCCAAATGGGTGGACGTGTCTGTGGTAGTAAAAAAACTTTTGTCCAACTATTACCGTTTGACCTATTAAATCTTTCATCCCTAAATCCACATCATATAAAATATGCTTAAAGTGTCATGTCAGTAAAACGAGTCTCGAGGCACTGAATTCAGTTCTGAAGAAGAAAAAGTAATATAAGAAAACCTGACAAAACGATAAGGTATAACTGCGTTGTTATTGTAATAATACTGTAAGACGTGAAGTGAGTACGGCGGAGCAGTGTGAACTCGAGGCAGCTCCAGCCCAGAAGTGCAACCTCGGGAGATACTCGCCAAGATGATCAATAATTGAGCCAATCTGACAAGGTGGGTGATGGCCGTGAAGGAACCGGCGCCTTGAATGATAGCGGGTGAAGACAAGCGGAACTGTCGCACTGACCCGTTCACCCGTGTTGCACCACCCCCGGGGCTCTCTTCTCAGCCACCCACCAACGCCTACAGCCACCCACCAGCGCCTACAGCCACCCACCAGCGCCTACAGCCACCCACCAGCGCCTACAGCCACCCACCAGCGCCTACAGCCACCCACCAGCGCCTACAGCCACCCACCAGCGCCTACAGCCACCCACCAGCGCCTACAGCCCCCCACTAGCGCTTACAGCCACCCACCAGCGCCTACAGCCGCCCACAACCAGACACCACCTACCATCCAAAACCCAGAAATATCCAGCTTCACCCACCAGACACCACCACCACCACTACCACCGCCCCCATCCCCCCGTCAGCACCACACTCCCCCCTCCGCTAGGTCATGCACTGCTTCTCACTATTGACTACCGAGATACTCAAACTCTGTTATTTTACCATCTCCGCCTCGGCTCGTGCCGCACCTGCCCCAATCTGGCCGGATAAATATGACGCGCGCAGTCTCAGTGCCGTGTGGGGTGCTGCCCCCCTCTACCATGGCCTTGTCTCCTGGTTACCTGTCTCTTTGTTTATCACACGCACACGCAAGTACACACACACGCAAGTACACACTCACACACACACAAGTACACACACACACACACGCAAGTACACACAAACACACGCAAATACACCCACACACACACACACACACGTGGTGGGGTCTTGCGGCTGAGTGAACAGCGTTCGGGAGTCGTAGTCCTAAGTGCCTGGGTTTGATTCCTGGCCGAGGTGAAAACAAATGGGCAGAGTTACTTTGACCCTGATGTCTCTGTTCTCCTAGCAGTAAATAGGTACCTGAGAGTTAGACAGCTGCTACTGGCTGCTTCCTAAGGATCTGTGTGTGCGCGTGTGTTAGGGAGAATATATGTAGTAGATATAATAGAGGAAAAAGAGATTGGTTAGAAAGGCAGGGTCGTCCAAGAACTAATAGCTCGATTCTGCCTGCACAAATAGTAAATACACACACACACACACACACACACACACACACACACACACACACACACACACACACACACACACACACACACACACACACACACACACACTCAGACTCACTGAGGTGTGTACTCACCAACTAGGTGAGTACACACACACACACACACAGTGTTAAAGTTGTTAATAGTTGGAATTGGTTAGATGAATATGTGACTGAAACTAACTCAGTACACAATATGAATTGCAAAAAATGATAAGAA